TACAAAATCTAATTTGACAAGGATGAATATGCGTCGTTGTTTGGATTAAGCAAGACATCTCTGTCTTAAAGGTCTACTTCCCTAAGCTCTGATTGCTTTAAAATTGCTACAATGTTGATTCGGAGAAAGTCTCTATGTTGGAAGGAGTAGCTTGAACCGCTGTATTAAAACATAATAAGACTTGCTTATGTATATTTTAACTTGTGGATCAGGATATTCGTACTGTGGTTGAAAGTTGAAATCTGCAGTCGTCACCGGAAATTAGCTTTTACATGATGGTTCCTTTTAGAACGAGTTTTTTCGACTTTACGGGAGTTGGTGCAGCACGTGTATTGGGTCTGAGTCTGAGTGTATTTCGGATTCAAACGCTTTTTGTAAACTTCACTGACTGTCGTTACGGTGCGAAACAGATTGTTTCCATTAAAAGATCCATATGCCAAACATCTTTTGTTTATATATCGTTTGTTTGCACAAACTAATTTAGGCTAGCTTGTAGATCACTTAAAAATATTTCCGTTTGTAACTTTTAACCTAGAGATGGTGTCTAAAACGGCATGTAAGGGTCGAAGTATGATTTAACGCTAGTTAGGTTCTGCTCGTATGTTAGGCTAGTTTCAAACGTTATACAGTTTGAAGTAATTACGATGTTATTCTCTCTGGTGCAGTTTTTATCCACCTTATCCAGTGAAATCCTTCAGCTCACCCGGCCTTATATATTTACTTCCTACAGACTGTTTACTCTCCCCTGCTGCTCAGTCCAGTGTCTCTGGTCCACCGGTTGTCGGGTCTTTTTTGCAACGTGTCCTGTACGTTGCTACTTTAACTCCTCCATCGAGGCAGCGGTGTTGAAGACACTTGTTTACGCTCGTACCCATTCATTCGCCCTTCTGTCTTTGTTTGTCATTCCTAGCATTACCTCTTTCCATGTTGACTTGCATATTCACCAGTTTATACATAAATTTCAGGCTAAGCTTTCCTGTTCGTATTCATATGTTAGCCTTGGGAACGAGTCTCATGTTGCTGATTTCTTTTGGGAGAAGTTTAAAACAGTCAAGCGAGTCAAGTCGAAACATTGTCCACTCTGTGGCGCGTTCACTTGCATGGTATCAATGAGTTTGTTATTGTTGAACATAAAAAAATTTGACGAACGTGTGTTTTACTCGTTTTATTCATGTTATGAACGAATCCAGGCTTTCGCAGGATTGTTATCATGATGCTTTCAGTTCAGACCTGCTGGTAATTGACTTGTGTTACTATTCAAGTATTCAGTTTACCTTTTTGTACTATTCAAGTAATTAGTTTACCTTTTTGTTACTGTATGTGATATATTATTGGTATACAAGAAATAGCGTAAAACCTTTTTCCTTGGGTCTTCTCGCTCCGAATCTATTGAAATTTCACCACCAACCTACCTTGAAGAAGGCCCCTGAGACACGAGCCGAAACGTCGGACCGACCACAGTGTTTTTTAATGATGTACATTATGTATTATATGATTTATGTTAGCATACATGTTGTGCACTTTATTAGTACTTTCACGTCACTTTAGTATTTGTAAATATCGTTCGTGTTCCAAGGACGTTTATAACCGTTTAACTCATGTAGAAAGATGCGAAAATGCAATGTAGCTGTCGTCTGATTGGTAATTCATCTAGAAGCCGGGGAACAGTACAGTACGCCATAAAATTCGGTTCTCAGGGAGTTAACAGCATATTAGTGTAGTACTCTTGCTGAAATTTCTGTCATATTAATTAACCACATCATCCCTTCTTTACCTAACTGCCCTCTCCCCTTTCTGTTCGAAACATTTAAACTTCTGCACGGCAGCCAGCAACGAAGGAATCATTCCAAGAAGATGCATGCAGTACCGACCAAATGTGTACAATGTGCCTTTCGACAGACCAATTCCTTATGCCATATTTCAGTCCGTCTCATATTTTTATCCCTCATTGAATTTCACTGTTGCAGTTTTACTTCATGCCATAGCTGAGTTTGAATTAATTGACTATGGTATCTCTGTATCATTGCCAGTGACCGCTGTTAGATGTTTCTTGTAATAACCTCTAGTGTATAACATTACTTTGCAGGATAGTTGACAATGGCAAAAAGCATTCGAAGTAAGCGGAAGCGGAGGTTGCGTGCAGTGAAGCGCAAGCGATACTACGTCAAAGAACTGCTGAAGCTTAAGGAAACCGTTGCCTCCTTGAACAGTCCAATCTCTATTAGCGTTGGTAAGTTTTTTATTCAATTGTTCTTCTCACTGGAATTTGTGCGTTGGGTGGCAGTGTAATAATTAAAATCTACCAAATATTGTGAAGTATATCTGCGAGAGCACAGTGAACCAGAGGTTTATTGTCCCAGTTCGTACACCCAAGTGCCCCTGTAGTGACCAAGCAGCCGTTTTATCGTCACCACGGTTGCTTATTCGAAAGGGGTCAGACTCAGAATAGAGAGTTGCTGAGTTCGAGCCTCCATTCCGTCATTCGTCTCTTCTTTCCGAGGTGAATAATTTACTATCACTGTGCAAAGGAATCAAGATACTACGCACTATGCTCTCTATATTTCTGTTGCTTCTATCTTTAGTAGATTAGACGCTGTTGACTGATGTCACAGAAACGGAATTTGGTGCCGTACCATAAACGTCATGAAGAGTAGGAGCAACAATTGGCCCATAATCGGGAAAGTGTACGGGTGATCAACTTCCAACTGTTGCAGATTTCCCTTTCATCTCTTATTATTTGACGGCCCGGTTTTGGTTCTCTTGAATTTCGGTTCCACGGCGCTACGTCGTTCGGGCCTTTACATCATATTCGATTTATCTACACTGTCGCAAGCCGGTTGCATCTTTAATTAAAAGCAGATAATACTGCTGTACGAGTCTCTAAGCTTTCATAAAGTGATAGGTGCCATACCATGAAAGGGAGCTACAAATACTGCAAGCTAGCAGATGGCGTCATATGGCGTCCTGAGTTTATGGCGTCCTGAGTTTTTACAGAATGGCGTTACATATGGCGTCCTGAGTTTTTACGGAATGTGGCGTTATTCTTCAGTCTCTAACAGCGTGAAATGTGTGACATGGCGTAGAATAAGTTTGCTCATTAATGATTGAAGCTTCGATAGCTGAACCTTCGAGATAAACCCCATGAATGCAAGGTCTATGTCAGACTTGTTATTTGTTGTTCTCTAATTCAACAACGGTTTTCATTGCGACGAATCGCTCTACTTTATGATTATTTAAAATTTAGTAATATTGATCTGACGTTCTTCTTTTAAATGAACGATACTCTGTGCAGGTGTAATTAACTGTGCATTTTTTTTAGTTCAGGCAACCTCTTCAAAACCAGTGCCAGATCCTGTTGCAGCCGCTGATACCAAACCAGTTACCACAGTTGGTAAGATGCTCTGTTGTAGCCAAACTATTAAATCTCATATCAGTTAATTTTATAGATTTGGAAAATGACGCTGTCGCAGTTGAAGCAATGGATTGTTCGTCAGCTACTGATGCTAACGAAAATAAGGAAGAAACAAGGAAAACTAGGCGCTTCCCCGTTTGGTTCACGTACAAGAAAATTAAAAATTTGAAAAAGAAAATAGCCAAGCTGAAAGTGAAGAAAACGCATAAAAGAAAATGATCACATCTGCAAATTTTTTTGAACGAATTTGATGCTTCGGTTTGTTGCGTTGAAATTTGTTTTTCTCGCGAATTAAGACTGCCACGTTGTTCTAGCTTACAATTTTTTCACAAATGTATGATGAATTCAAGTTATTAACTTCATTTATCTCATCGCCAGATTAGCTATAGGTCGAAGATGGCATACAGTTTAATCTAGATATTCTTAATTTTATAGGAATGTGCGTACACAGAAGTGATTTTTAATTCTTTTGGGTCACTACACCAGTGGGCGTAGTTTACAGCAGGTTGAAGTTCTACGGCTTGAACAAAACTTCATTTGGTTTGTAGATACAGATGGATCTGAAACTGCCGTCTGGACAATTTTCGAATGTCTAGTCTAGACGTTGTCAGGCAGAATCTGAAGGCATTAGTGACCTTATTGCTCGTGTTTTATTTTCGCCTCATCATGGGATTATTTAACCCGTGATGCGTTTTTAAACTCGTTATGAGCTACGCAATGAAAATACCCAGCAATTCGTGTTCACGGCTTGTTATTCGTTACTGGTAACCTCCATATCTCGTGGTTGTTCCCTTATGCGAAATCTTAGGATATCTAAGACCCCCTTTCGGAAAAGTTATGGAATGCTGGTTTCGAATCTCGAAAAAGGCAATTATTCTTAAAAAATAATTCCTAATGAAGTTACTCCAACCTTACATCGGTACTAACAGCGTAAACAAGTTGTTGACCAGTATACAATGGAGACAGCGTGCTAACCTTTAGCGATTATGCCAGAATGAGCGATAGTTAACGCCATGCTCTGTGAAGTGAACATTATTCCTGACGCTAATTCGCATGAGTCACATTTATGTTTATGGGTAAACCGACAGTACCTACATTAACAAATCTAATGTCAATGGCCACGCTACGGACGATTCGTGTACATTTCCTTTCCTCTCCAATTTCTTGTTTTACACTGTCAACGATGTTCTCAACTAGGTGTAGCCGCAGTAGCATGCGGAAATCGTTTCCCAGCTACTTCAACAGATCATGTCCAATGATGGCGTAGAATTGTTTGGATCTTGTTCCAATTTGTCCTCCTTTGTGCGCCCGAGTGGAATCAATCCCGAGTTTATGCCCAGATCGTCAATTACACCTTTAGTCCGTATGTTTAAATTACACCAGGCTTATTTTCATTCGTTATTTGATTTGTTTTTAGCGAAATATCTAGTGTAATAAGCAGCAAAAGATGTAGTCAGTGTAAGTGTTAAACTATAGATTTTGCTTCTAACGCATTCTGTGTACATTTTCGTATTCTGTTTCATTTGTAGTACTGTGTTCGCTTAACATTACCTGCTGATGCGCAACCGTAACGCAGCGCCAGTCAAAAATGACTCATCCCAAAGACTTTCTGCTTCTGTACGGTACGCAAACAGGTCAAGCCAGAGCCATCGCCGAACTGTTAAAGCTTAAGTGCGAGGAACAGCAGTTGTATCCTCGATTTCATTGTGTCAGTTCGGTGGGACGGGAAGTAAGTATACAAAACTGAACTGACAATTTCACCTGAGTTGTGTACAACGAGATAACAAACTATCGTTTGTTGCTGTTGTTGTTTTGTCATCGTCGTTTGAGTACAGAGCTTTAACAGCAGAGCATTCCAGAAATTTATAATGTTTGACCATTAGAAATGGTACTTCAGATTTATATTACACTAAGTTAGCTTCTATGGCAATAATCGTATTCCTCTTCAAAAACAGCCTGCCTCAACGACGTCTTTTGCATGTTCTCTCAGAGACAAAAGTTTTGAATGCTTTTATCCTCTTTTCGGACCATTTTGTTAGCCGAAGTTCTCCGAGTCTGTCCGGTAGTTTTCTCAGACCGGTGGCTCACTTAACCGCTTCGTTCGTATGCACCTTTGAGTATGCTTCGCGTGCGGCGTTTGTATAACCTGTCTGTAAACGAGGTTCATGGCGGCAGATGTTTCGACACTACATATGAGCACTGCGAATACGCTTGCATTTGCGAAGGCTGTATTAGTATTACTTTAAAAAGTAATGATACCGGATTGAAACGGCGAAAATGCACAGTGTAAAGAAAGAAAAATCTGTTTCTCGTTATACACCAGCAGTTCTTCCGCCCCCTTGCTTCTAGATCATTTAAAGGGACCTATTTAAGCAGGCCACGGTTCCATGGTATTTAATCTTCCCAAGAATATCGGGGTTGTGCTTTGTCAGTTGTATTTGTATTATTTTTTTTATTTCGACCTTTCCATAGTTTATACAGCTTGGCAAAATTCGTACCTACCTGTCGGATTTGCCATTTCACTTCAAGATCGATACCGCTGTCACTGGCCCAAATGTTGCCGGTTGATGAAGCGGACAACCTCGTCCATCGTCTTATCGTTTCGCGTATCATCGGTTTAACAGGTGCGCTGAGTATACTCATAATCTTCCCCCTTTTTCGACCTGACGTTGATTTCAGTCCCATTTTCATAGTGGTATTACGTACGCTTCGGTGCCAAAATGTCACTTGCGAAGTCGTTCAACTGTACCATGTCATTGACATGCTCAAGGTCTGTTACCAGCACCGCCTTGAATTACGTCGCCGACGTTATGGTCAAACCCTCATCATCTCAGTCCCTTGAGATTGCATGAGAAAAGAAAAGATAAGGAAAGCTCGTAATTGTTGGTGGACTGTCGGTGTTGATTACATTAACATAAAGGGGCCATTTATGACGCCTTTCTTTGCATGCAGTTAGTGTTGGTCTGGTGATTAGTCAATCGATGTAATTTTTATTTCGTAGTTCAATAAAGACAATGTCTTTCTTTGGATAAAGTGCAAGAAGAATAAGAGCATAATGTACGAGTGCATATAAAAAGAATCAGTGATCGTTATTTGTGTGCCATCAGCCAGACATGCCTTACTTTTTTATGTAAAGTCAATAGCGGCTATGTGGCAAGCATAGTGTTTAGTCGTTCGGAATGAGCCGTTTTGACGTAGTCCTCTGGTTGATGTCAGCTCTGGGTCCACTGGTCAATCGCCACATTGAATCTCTATAACTGGACCGTGGCTGGTCAGCTGCATCGACTGCCAGATTCAACCCATCATATCAGTGGATAGCTTTCTCAACTAGTGAATTTCTTATTACAATTCCATTATATATATCTAAGATTTTTCGTAAGTATATGCGGACGTTGGAGTAGCAGATGTGCACTTCCCGCAAAGAAGAGGAAGCGATTTCCTTAGTTTATGCTTCGTTTCACCACAGACGGCAAAGTTTTTCGTTTTACTCTTACCGTACCTTGAAAGGAAGGGGACGAAACGGTTTTATTAGAAAATTTCCATCCTTACAAAGAAACAAACAGACAGTGGTCTTTACTATAAATGCTGACGATTCGGTAAAACTACGTTGGTGATCCAAAAAAAGTCTCATGCAACATTTCGGTCATGCCGCCCTGCTAATGTGATGAAAATCTTCTGTCAAGTCAAAGCCTTTTCAGTAAACTGTCGTTTCTGTGGGTCTAAACAGAAGAAAAAAGACAGATGATGTCTTTATTACAAGTGGTTAGATTTCAGCCAAATTACATAGGTCGTTCTTACGGCAAGCAATCCAAAGCAAACATATATTTACGAGAGTTTGGTGCGTTTTGTCATAGCTGTTATGTTTCTTTATTTACAGTTTTGTTTGGAAAAAGAAACACTCGCTGTTATCGTTATTTCGACCACTGGCGATGGCGAGTGTCCGGACACAGCACAGAAGTTGTGTCGTTTGTTGAAGAGGCAGCTTGCGTCAGGTTCACTTTCGTCATTGCGCTTCGCCCTCCTTGGTAATTTCTTCTTTTATTGTTTCGACAGAGTTGTTGTGCTCGCTAAACGACGGTATGAGTAAACTTTTAAGTAGTTTATACTCATCTTTGATGCGACTGTCACGCATGGTATGCTGTTTGCTTATACCACTGCATTAATTTGTGATTATGCATGATTTGCGATATTGGTTAAGTTGCGGTTTCGGTTGGTTTACTCACCTGACTTGTGTCCGAGCTTGATAGATGAGCACCACCCATTTGGATATAAACTCGACGACTTTTCTCTCCTAATTCCTAGTATCCTACAATCTGTTGTTGTGTGACAGGCCAACAGCCGAAAGCTTAAGTGAGTGAACACCACATGCAACCAGGGTCCTCTAAAGTTGTTGTTATTGTCTGTGTTGCGTAAAATTTCCGAACCAACCGAAGTCCAGCACAAGTCCCTTGTAAGTTTCGCGTAGTTTTTCGCCTCCCAACTTTTGTAATCACTGCTGGTGGGATGATCGAAGGTAAGAAATTTGACGAGTAAGACACATAGTTGAAAGTTGACCCCGGTATTATGGTTGGAGCCGTCTCTGTGCTTCGAGTGAGGCAGTTGTTTAAGCCGGTTACGGCTCCATGGCAACTGCGGTGCTTGACTCAAAACAGCAGTACTTTATTCAGTTGAACACCAACGCAAAGGTTTGTTTAATGCTTTTTCAGGGAATAAGTGAGATGATCAGTGTGACTAGCTGCTTATTAACTCCTACGTCTTTGGCTCCGAAATAAGGGAACGGCTTCAACGGAGAACGGCTTGGCTGCTGACAGTACCTAATTCAGGTACTTCTATGTAGAAGACTGATTCCCTCGTGGCCACTTTGTCACCATCCACTGCTTTCAAGGTTTATGACCAGCCGAAGTGATCGTTTTCTGCCGTTCAGTTTCTGTCAACGATATCGTCTTTATTTATTTACCTGGTCTTATAACCTTAGATTTCGAAATTGTCCTTGCGGCCAGTAGTGGTCCCTACTTGGTTGCTTCAATCGTTTTGATGGTTGTCTTTTTTCCAGTGGTCTTCACCCACGTTATTGTTTTGTTTTGCTTTATTCGCCGTTGGGCAATGCAGCCTTGAAGGCTCCCATCCTTGCCTACTTTGCGCCTTACTTTACATTGTTTTCATCAGGTCTCGGCGACACGAATCATAACATCTTTTGCGGTTGCGCGAAATTCATAGAGAAACAACTTCTGGATCTCGGCGCTGAAAAATTCTGTCCAACAGGCTTTTGCGATGACGAACTTGGGTGAGTTTTTTGTTTCAATGCGAACACAGCGATGCGTTTGTCGAAAGTCTTGAAATTTACGTCCATCATCTTTCAAGGGCCTTGATGGTACGGTTTTCGAATTATGCGACTACAAAACTAAGTTGACTATGCAGTTCTTTGGTGATGACGCATAATATGTTAGACTAGATTTTCCAGCGGATTCCATTTCTTCCTTATAGTTGCTCATAGTTGCTTTGAAGAGGTGACATAAATTTT